TTCAAATCACACCTAGAGGCAGTACCTGTGGGTGGGGCTTGGAGTAGTCTCACCCTGACATGAAAGGAAGGCCCCTGTGATGTAGGCTGAGCTGAGCAGGGCGTACTATAGCTCCCACTATACAAAACCTTGGCTGAGTAGGGCTGCCTGGCTTCAAGTCTTTCATCTCCCATCTCCAGAATGCTTTGCCTCAAGCCTGGCAAAGGGCATTGAGGGGGCGAGCATTCCCTACCTGTGATAATAGCAAGGAGAAGACATTGGGGCCCACAATCCCCAAGCTGTGTGTGCCATGTGGGATAGAAGGGGCTGTTGCCTCTACTCAAGGAACCTGAAAACACATCTTATTAGGTACCAAATGCTTTTAGGGTTAAAGTACTCTCTATTTCAAATTAGGTAGTAAGAAAAGGAAGACACTTTGCTTTTGAGACAAGGTCTCTAGTATCCTAGGTTGGCACTGAACTAGCCACAAAGTTAAGAATGACCTTGAACTTCTGATCCTCCCAAGTGCTAGGATCATATGCATGTGCCAACACACCTGACTTATTTGAGACTGGGGATGGAGCCCAGGACCTCATGCATGCTAAGCAAACACTATCAACTGCACTACACCTTCAGTCCCAGGAAGGTCATTTTCAATGCCATGTTCTTTGGCTGGTAAAGCCTTTGAAAACTTCCCATATGTAATGAGTTTAACGTTTTTATTATAATTCTCAACTTGAAAATTAAGCCCTCTGCTTAGTCACCTTCTTTTTCCCCCTCCCTCTCCCTTAAGTCACAAGGAGCCACTGATAGATATTTTTGTATTTTTTGTCCCTCTTTTATGCCTTCAGAAGGCAAACATTCTGTGTGTGTGTGTGTGTGTGTACATGCATATGCATGAATGTATAAGAAGTCTGAGCCCAGAATACATTTGTTTAAAGATTCTTTTCACTGTGACCGTTCTCTGTACCTTGGCTCACTACAGAGTTGCTCATACACAGCTGGTGTGGATCGGTTCCACTCGCTTTTATAACCCTCTTTCCCAGAATCCAGAATCCGAAGACATCTCCATTCCCCCGGAGGTCAGATAATGGCTGTTGTCCATAGTCATGAAAATCTACAGGGAGAGCCATGGCAATTTGACAAGGCCTATTAAAGGGACATTAGGCTTGAAGTACCAGCATGGGGAATCACATACCTTTGAACCCTACTTTGAGATCTGTAGGACAGCTGCCAGCACTGGCCAGTTGGGAGTCTGGCTCTCCAGCCCTCAGCCGTGTGTGGGTGCTTCTGGCACCCAGCCACTGGAGCGAGGCCCACGGAAGGAGACAAGCTCTTGAAAGAACTGTTTGCTTCTGCTTTCTCACTCCTCACAAGAGGGTAGGCACTGCAAACTCAAGTCACCAATAACAGCGGCAATTACCCTCCTTCCTGGGACACGTGCTAGGCCTGTCTCATTGAGTAAATTGTTTGCCCACCCCATCCTCATGTCCAGAAGAGAAAGGGAGGGAGAGCGAGAGCGAGAGCGAGAGCGAGAGAGAGAGAGAGAGAGAGAGAGAGAGAGAGAGAGAGAGAGGGAGAGAGAGAGAGAAAGAGAGAGAGAGGAAGGCAATGTCTGGAAAGGCGAGCAGCGTCTCTCCTCTTCCCTCTGCAGACCTGTGGCGGGTACTCACTGCCTCTCTGCCCAGGTACCTCATACATTTTCCCACACTCCAGGAACTCAACTAATTAGCAGAGGTTAAAGACCATCTACAGAGTCATTTGTAGTCTCTCTGGCTCTCCCTGCAAAAGATCTTTCTGTTCCTGTTCAACTTAGTGTATCTGGAAAAAACAGCAGGTGCTTAAAATTAGTGCAGTATCACGGGTCTCCCCAGGAAGCCCCAGCACAGGGCTTCTGGGCACCCAGACATTTCAGGATCGCACAGAGTTTGGAGTGTTGCATCTCAGATCAAGACAGGACCCATCAGGACAGGGCTACAGAACCTCTTGGATCTGGAGCCTCTTGGTAATACTGGGTCATAACTAGGATCTGTGTTCTTTCCTGGACAGGCTGGGCAGGGATGGCAGGGCGGAGCTGCTGGTCCCCCACCTCTGGGACTGACACAATTTCTGCCCACCTTTGTAGCCCACCTCCCCCAGGAAGCTGTGGTGGAGACCCAGGGTGTTGGACCCCCAGTCTTTGTGTATGAGTTAGGGAATGAGAAAGCCCAAATCACAGTTAGTAGCAAGCTCTTAGTAAAATGTCGGGGGTAAAGACCTTGGAGATCACTGGGGACGAGAGGATGTGAGAAGCTTGGGCAAAGGGTCTCTGTTGCTCTCTGAGCGAGTTCACCGGAAATGGGAGAGGCTAACTAGATCGGGTGATGCCCACCTTCACGGCTACGCACCGATGTCCACCTTTTTCCACCCCAGAAAGGAGAGCTTACCCTCGGATAAACAGCCAGAGCCCTGGGAAGCCTCTTTGTCCTGGAAGTATTGCTAGCCCCACCGCTAGCCTGTGCAGGCAGCCTAGGACGCCTGGGAGAGGCTTAGCTCCCCACATCACTGCAGGGCCAGTGGAGCGTGTTCTCTTCATGTACGACCTGCACAAGGCAGTGTCTGTACAACATGAGCAAGTTCTCTGTGAGGAGTATCAGTAACCACCCCATGCTCACTGTGTCTCACCCAGTGAGGACCCCAACATCCTTGCCAGCAGTTCAACCATACCAGACACTTGCAGTTGACATATGCCAAGCAGAAGATGCCATTAACTCCTAACTTTTGCTAGGCTTACACTGAGTTTGTGGACATGGTTTCAGGGGCGTTAGCATTTTTTAATCCACACACTACAAGGTCCCGAAAGGAATGCTGATCAGAAAAGTCAGGCTCAAGGCAAATCTGCCTACCTCCACTCATAGAGATGACTGCTCCATGGCAATGCCCCTCCAGGGCTGTGGAGAACTCCCATTGGAGCCCCCAGAGGAAGGTGGGGAAGAACCAGAGGTCAGAGCTTATGGCGGGAAGGGGCTGGCGCTGTCCTTAGAGCTGTAACCTCCAGCTTGAGCTTGCTGTGGAATGGCCAAGGAAGAGAAAGGTGATCCCGTGTTTCCCAGTCTCTGCCAGGGTCTCACAGGGAAAGCCTGGCTTAGAAGGAAATAGTCTTCACACCATTTTTTTTTTTAAGTAGGAGGAGTTTGGTTGTGGCTTTTAAGTTTGGATTTAAAATTGAGGCACCTCCAAATAGAGTTCTTTTTGGAAATTTTAAGGTAACACTGAATTTTAAAAGCCAAATTATATTGGCTAATGAGGGAATTATTTTATGAAGGTAGTGAAAAACTTGAATGCTTTTTAAGTAAGACTTGGTTCAGTGGGCTGGCAAGCCTGAGAAACCTGGCTTTGATCTCCCAAACCCATAGGGTAGAAGGGGAGAACCAACTCCCCACAAGTTGTCCCCTGACCTCAATATGCAGACCTTGGTGTGAGCATACCCCTAACACAGACACACTAAATAAATAAAAGCAAAATATTTAAGGGTTAAAAAAAAAACCTGCTTGGTTTAAGTAAGGTAGCAGGTTGTAACAAAAACATGATCGCTATAAGGACATACAATCCTAAATTGTAGCTTTACCCCAGGAATTGCAGTCATTTGATCATTCAGGGTCCTGGGAGCCACACTCAGATCCTCTGCAGAAGCAACACAAGGTTTTAACCACCAAGCCGTGTCTCTCCAGCCCCAGAGGGGCTCCTTTGTGGGGCCAGTTCCCTGGTTTTGCATGGGCTCTTGGTGGTCAGGCTTGTGCCACAGCTCTTACCTTGCGGGACTATTTTCAGAGCCAACAGGTTTCTTTTAAGATGACCATTCTAGACTTGACCAAGATAACCTGTTTTTCAAAAGAGGTAAAAGTCAGCAAAAATCATCCTAAAGATGTTTATATACTCATACAGACATGTTTAAATTATTCACGCCAACAATCATAATTGTAGCGCACATAATGTTACAGATGTAAGCCCAGGCAGAGGTGGTGCAGGCCCTTAATCCCAGCCTTTGGGAGGCAGAGGCAGGCGGATCTCTGTGAGTTCGAGGACAACCTGGTCTACACAGGGAGTTCCAGGACAGCCAAGGCTAGATGAGAAACCCTGTCTCGAAAAAACAAACAAACAAACAAAAAGATAAAGAAATGTAAACATGAAGTAGCCATAGATCTTGTCTTTTTTGGGGAGATTGAGTCTCATCCTCACCTTGCTGTTTTAGACTCAAAAGACATGTAAAAACAATCATTTAAACTAAAAATAACGCGTGGAAACACTCACATGGAAGCAGTGAGCATGAGCCAGAGTGCATTTCTTAGAAAAAGTGAAGTAGAAAGCTTCCGTCTATAATTAAGAAAGGCTCAGGAAGAAAAAAAAATTCCAAGTTCAGACTTGTTCTACAGACTTAGGGTAATAGCTTTTCCTGTTTTCATTGTTATAATTTTTTTTTTTTTTTTGAGACAGGCTCTAACTATATATCCTTGGCTGGCCTGGAACTCACTCTGTATACTAGAACTCACAGGGGTCAGCCTGCTCTGCTTCCTGAGTGCTGGGATTAAAACTGTGCTATCATTCAGGGGCTCATGTGTGCCAGGCAAATGCTGTGGTACTGAGCTACACTCTCAGCCTCATACTGTTCTCTGTTTTCTTAGTTTCAAAGTAGCAGAGAGCAAGACAACCTTTCAGACAGGTTTTTTCTTTCTTTCTTTCTTTCTTTCTTTCTTTCTTTCTTTCTTTTGTGGTGTCTCATTATGTGACCCTAGGTGGCCTGAATCTCACCAGGCTGCTGGCCTTCAACTCACAGAGACCCACCTGCCTCTGCTTCCTGAATGCTGGGACTCCAGGCATGCACCACCACTCACGGTTGAACATGTTAATATAATTAGTGCCGGATCTCTCCTGTCTAGGCTGTGTCCTAGAACAGTCTTTTCCTTTGAAACAGAATTTTGTTCTTGGAGACAAGGAGAAAGAGGCAAGGTGGGGGGTGGGTGGAGAAAGTTATTTTTTTAAAAAAAATTACCCAGCAGGGAAGATGCCACGATCAAGAAGTTGGTTTTCCCAGGGTGAATCTCACCCATTGCACGCTGGGTATCCTGGCTCCTGCAATTTCCCCAAATGCAGGCAACTCAGCTGCATGATTTGTGGGGATAGTTGTGGATAGTATTTGAGCTTTTCCCTTAAAAATTAATTTTCTCAGAGTTTATAGTTCTGGCACAGTATCTATGTTTTAAAATCATTTACTTATTTATTTTAAAATGTGTGTGTGTGTGTGTGTGTGTGTGTGTGTGTGTGTGGAGGTCAAAGGGCAACAAGTTAGAGCTTGTTCTGTTCTGTTCTACAATATGGGTCCTGAGCATAGAATTCAGTCATCAAGCAAGTCTTACCTGCTGAGCCATTTACTTAATATTTTTATTTTTAACATTGCTTTTAAAATTGGATATAGCTTATAACCTCTCATTGTTTTGTAAAATGCCCATTCACGATCTTAAATTCTATTACCTGCTAGGGTGTGGGGACACATGCCTGTGAGCCTAGTAGTTAGAAGGCAGAGACAAAAGGATCTCAGTGAGTTCGAGGCCAGTCTGGTCTACATAGTGAGTTCCAGGACAGCCAGGGCTACAGAGAGAAACTCTGTCTCAAAACAAACAACACACAAAAACAAAAATAAAAATAAATTCTATTATCTGAGATTTTTGTTTGTTTGTTTTAGTTTTTTTAAGGCAGGGTTTCTCTGTGTAACAATCCTGGCTGTCCTGGAACTCACTCTGTAGACCAGACTGGCCTTGAACTCACAGAGATCCGCCTGCCTCTGCCTCCAAAGTGCTGGGATTAAAGGCATGTGCCATCACGCCTGGCCTAAATTTTAATGTAGCAGCAAAAACCCAATTTAGGGTTGTCATATGTTTCCCACTGAGGCAGGTGTAAAACTAGGTTTATCTTTAGTTACATTTCCCCATTTTCCAAATATTTGAACTTTGAAATAACACAACTAGCAAGCATAAAACCACTTAAAATAAAGAAGTGGTGGTTCTTCTCCAAACATTCTTTCCTGTATTTCGCTTTCTCCTGTCTGTGCTGCCAAGGGGTCTGATTTATATGCTACTGTTAGGAGTAACTTCTTCGGCTTTGATCCTGAGGCTAGTTCCTCTCACTGTGTCTCAGACTTGTCCCACACATCCACTGAAACACGAGGGGGCCCAAGACACTGAGTGATCAACCCTGTGAGTCTTTTTCCAACTGGGCCAATAAAGTTCTTTCCAACCCAGAAAAAATAAATTTTGTTGGGTTTCTCTATGGGGCAAAACATGATAGGGTGTTTTGACACTTTCAGATCATCGGGGTGGAGGGAACAAATGTCTCTTTAGCGACTTCATGATCAGGGGATCCTAGAACACTAAACTAAAGCAGCAAGGTTGTAATAAGCATGAAAAGCTATAGAAAAATGCAAACTCGTGGGGTTGGAGAGATGGCTCAGTGTTTAAAAGCACTAGCTGTTCTTCCAGAGGACCTGAGTTCAGTTCCCAGTAGCCATATTGGGCAGCTCACAACTGCCTGAACGTCAGCTCCAGGGCATCTGACTCCCTTTCCTGGCCTCTGTGGGCATCTTTACTCAGTTGCAATATACCCATACATAGAAACATGCATGTACACATAATTTTTTAAAAATCTTTTTTGTTTTTTTAAATGCAGAGTTGTATGTTGGGGGAGTGGCAGAAGAACGATTGAATGCTACCAAGTAAATGAACTTTTTAATAACAGAAATAAACCAAATGCTCTGAAAACAAAACAGTAATACATCAAAACAAAATAAGATCCAAATAACCACCCAGAATAAACCAATGGACTGTGGGCTAAACTAAGAAGGTCTGACCCTCAAACTAACGATGGTTTGACCCTCAGAGAGGACTCATCAATATTCACCCGAGGAGGCAATGCTGAACAGTGGGGCACACTGGCCCATGTGGGTACTGGATAATAATTCAGGTGACTCTTCTCATGAAAGTGGATCTTCTTGAGGCCCCATAGTGGGTGCCAAATAGTGTCAGTGCAAAAATACAGGTCTCATCTCAAGGAAAATAGGATAGATTATTCTGGAGCAAAATATGAGTAACAGTGCCTTGTGCACATAGATGTTGGTTACTCCAAATACTGTGTTCCCATATGGTATTTCAGAATGAAAAAAAAAGCTGTAAATAAAGGTACTTAAAAATACATTGTTTTCCATGGCTACATAACACTAGATGGCTTTGATATGTCATCATTTACTTAACCAGCTCCAAGTTTGCTAGACATTTCCTTGGTTTCGGTCTCAGTTTCTTTTCCTGTTTCTGTGATAAAATACTCCAACAAAGTCAGGCGTGGTAGCACACGCCTTTAGTCCCAGTACTTGGGAAGCAGATCTCTGAGAGTTTGAGGCTAGTCTGATCTATAGAGCTAGTTCCAGGACAGCCAGAGCTGCTCCACAGAACAATGCAAGCTCTGGTGCTGGGCTCACTTTCTCCTTTTCATTCAGTCTTGGACCCAGCCCATGAAACTGCTGCCAATTGGGATGGGTCTTCCCATTTCAATTAGCCCAGTTAAGAAAGTCCCTCACAAGCGTGCACAGAGACCCATGACTAAGAAAATCCCTCACAGGCATGCACAGAGACCTAGAGTTAAGAAAATCCCTCACAGTTATACACAGAGACCCAGAGTTAAGAAAATCCACCACAGGCATGCACAGAGACCCAGAGTTTAAAAAAAAAAAAAACCCTCACAGGAATGTGCAGAGACCCATCTCAGCTGATTCTTGATTTTGTCCAACCGACAACACCTACCATTATACTACGTAGCCTTCGGTATTAGAAATTCTGTGAAGAATGACCTTGAACGTGTATCTTTATACTAACCACATTTTTTTTTTTTTACTGTACTTTGACATCCGGTAACCTTCCTGATGCCAGGGAGACAATCCCAGGACAGCTAGCTAACACCAAGAGCAGTGATTCTCAATCTTCCTAATGCTGTGACTCTTAATACAGTTCCTCATGTTGTCGTAATCCCCCAACCATACAATTATTTTTGTTGCTATATCATAACTGTAATTTTGCTACTATTATGAATCATGATGTAAATATCTGTGTTTTCTGTTTATCTTAGGCGCCCCACAGGGGTCATGACCCACATGTTGAGAATCTATTGACCTTGAGTTTGCCTTTGATAATGCAGAAATCAGTTCTGAGGTCACTTCCTTTATTTAACTCTCACACATTAAGCCAATATTCTCCTGGCCCTAAATCTCCGTACCCAAGGCTCAGTACTGGACTTCTGGTGCTATCCTGCTAGGTGAGAGCCATTCTGAGGGGGTGTCACAAGAAGGCCTCTGGCTTATACCTTCTCTTATTCTATCTGCTTCCCATGTGTCTCCATGTTGCTCTGCACTGTCCCTTTTCTTGGAAATTCCAAATAATAGATTCTTTGTTTAAAAGACGCAGCGTGGGCCTAGAGCGATGGCTCTTCAGTTGAGAGTGTATACTGCATTTGCAGAGGACCCAGTTTGGTCTTAGCACCCACATCGGGTGACATCCAACTACTTCTGACTCCAGATCCAGAGGATCCATTCTTCTTCTGGCCGCCTCAGGCACCTATACTCTCATGCACATAGCCATATAATTAAAAATAAGAGAAAGCTTTTCTCCCCCTCTCTCTTGAAAAGAACAGAGTTGCTTTGTCATCTTAGGTAGTCAAAACAAATCGTGGGTACCTTTGACAGCAGTCATTTTGCCAATCATGATGATGTGTGGCTGTGATCTTGACACTTGGAGACAGAGGCAAGTGTATAATTGTAAGTTCAAGGACATCCTGGTCTATGTAGTGAGTTCTGAGCCAGTCAGGACTTCCTAGGAAGACCTCCCCAAACAAACAAAATCCCCAAACCAAATGATAAAAATGTGTGACCTGTTGCTTGGCTCCAAGGGACCAGTGTCTTAGGATATGTAGAAAGAATAAAAGAAAGCAAAGGGAGGCAAGCCGCCTGTGTTGGCTCATCGCTGTCTTCCCTGCACTCAGGGTGCTCAGGCAGAGCTCTTCCAGCCTGGGCTACACTGTGAATCTCTAAGGAAGAAAGAGAGAAAGAGGACAACAAGGACAAAGCGGGAATAACTAGGGAGATGGATGGCTCAATGGGTAACAGTGCTTGTTTCACAAGCCTGAGGACCTGAGGTCAATTCCACAGCACCCACATAAAAAGCAGGATTTGGGTGTGCATGTGCTTGAAATTCTAGAGCTGCTGGGCTTGCTGGCTACCAGCCTAGTTCCAGGTTCAGTGAGAGATACTGTTCCAAGTAATGAAGCAGGGTATCCAGGGTCTGTTTCCAGTCTGCAAAAACAGGCAAAAAAAAAAAAAAAAAAAGTTCAGTTCTTTTCTTACTATAAAACATCATGTATCTTTAGGTTCCTATTAAATGCTTTCTTTTAGAAGAGTTGCCATGGTCATGGTGTCTCTTCACAGCAACAGAGTGGCAAGCAAGCACTCTACCAGCTGAGCAACATCTTAGCCTAATATGCCCTCTTCTTAAATGGGCATCGTTTGTAATCTGGGATGACCTCATCTTAGTTTAATTTACTACATCTACAACAACCGTGTTGCAAGTAAGGTCACATCTGCAAGTGCTGAGTTAGCACCTCAACATATTCTTTGGGGGAATGTCACAATCCTTTCAGAATTTATTTATTTGGACTTATGGTGTATATGGTGGTTTGAATAAAAATATCCCTCATAGGCTCATAGGGAGTGGCACTATTAATAGGTGTTGCCTTGTTGGAGGAAGTGTGTCACTGGAGGTGGGCTTTGAGGTTTCAGAAGCTCAAGCCAGGCCGAGTGTCGCTCTCTCTTCCTGCTGCCTTCAGATCTGGACATAGAACTCTTAGCTACTTCTCCAGCACCATGTCTGCCTGTATGCTTCCTGCTTCCTGCCATGATGACAATGGACTAAACCTCTGAGCTGTAAGCCAGGCCCAATTAAATGTTTTCCTTTATAAGAGTTGCCATGAAGCTAGGCAGTGGTGGCACATGCCTTTAATCCCAGCACTTGGGTGGCAGATAGGCAGATCTCTGAGTTCAAGGCCAGCCTGGGCTACACAGAGAAACCTTGTCTTGGAAGAAAGAAAAAAAAGAGTTGCCATGGTAATGGTGTCTCT